GCGGACTTGAAAACTGAAAAGTTTCACCGTTCATTAGAATTACAAAGAAATTGCTTTTATCTACGAGGTATAATAATTACAATTTCAACATGACGTTTCATCTATTGTCCTCAATCATGTGTTACGTTTTTTCTTATGGACGTTACATTGAATATTTGCAGAGGTGAATAGAGTTGTAATTCTGATTCCGAAAACAGTCAACATGGTAAGTCGATAATTTCCTAAATTGATGATGAAATTATCAAATAACTATTTGTTGAATGAACTCACAAAACAGCTAATATTCCCGATTTTAATTATGAAATATCGTACATATAGTATTGATATTATAAGCCTCCTAATGTCTAAAAAACTATATTCTTCCTATAGTTGGTCTTATCGAAACACTGCCAACTTTTTCATAATAATCAAGGGTAATAATGAAGTAAAAACCTCGCCATCTTGAATTTGAGTAATATTAATCTACGGCTGAGGTGTCAGGTAGAGGGGTTCCGTTGTGATTGATATAGTCGATAAATCAGAAAATTCAGAAGCAGCCTCTAAATAAAATATATTACATAATAAACATGCGATAAGGTTGTATTTTTAAGGCCAACTATGGAAATATTAGTTTCTCTGGTGCAATTAAGGTATACATTTTTTTAATCAAAATTAAGAATTCCATTTGCCTGTGCAAAAATTCGATATGGCATCCATAAGAAAAACTAAAGTTCATAACTGAAGATAGTATGCTTGATCCCAGAGGTGTTACGGCACTTGTTTTGGCAGTAAAACATCACACATACCAAGAAGTTTTTACTCTCCATCAAACGCAAATAGAAAATAAGTTCTTAGTTCAGCGAGCAATAAAATCCATAAAACTGATTTTACTGCTCTTGATATTTTATATAAACATGTTTCTATTTCATAAAATATAATTTTACTATGTGTTTGTTGTGTTCATGCTAACTATACGTAATAAAAATGTTACGATATAAAAATAAGAACACTCTTGGCGAATGAACTTGAATATAAATATCTGCCTTCACACCAAGAGTTTTATCTCTCGCAATTATTGAGGACCGAAAAAAATTACAACAAATAGCCCTTGCATAATACGAAATAGCGTCTGCCTGTTCCAATTTTTCACGTTTAACCACATAATGGCCCCCTAAAAGCAACTTTTCCTATTGTTGTACATGAAATATTCTTTAATTGAGATCAAAATGCTTGAATTCTCGTGCCTAGCTCCCAAATTTTGCTACAGAACATCTTCTGCTGGTTAAACACTACCCATAAAATAATCGTATCTATTTTTTTTTGATGGCAATAACATTGAGTAGTTTAGAGTCGTGCAAGTATTATTATTATAAGTAGTATTTTGGACTGCCTCTAAGCCCTCCAAGTGTCGCGTACGTACCTCATTGAGTACCAAATCACTCCAATCAGGCAGACATTCCAATCTGTGACGAGCACCATACATGTTACTGTGATTTTTCCTCCACCTAAAATCATGAGGGATAAATGTCGCCAGCTCCAGAGATATTTCCTTATAAAATTATATAGAAATCGCTTCCTCTATTCAAGTGAAGTAGAAGTATTATCACTTAGCGACTAGAATAACAAACATTTTTGTTGCATAACAAATACCTTTCCAACGACCAAATAGTCCATTTATACAAATAGCCAATTGATTTAGACTTAAATTACAAATATATGTACAAGTATGTTCTCAACAATCCATCACATTGATCTATGGGGATAGAAAGCAGTTTAATGATGCAAGCAATGTAACAGAAATCAAGATTCTTATTGGTATTGGTATTGGTAGGAAGTACCTACAGCCAAAATGATAAAGAATGTCCCCTTACCGAGAGGAAAATCGCATAACATATAATACTATTAGTGGATAATACAGCCCCACAAAATAAGGTCTAAGTTCGTGAGGTAGGCGATGATATTCCTATTTATTTTTCGACGCTTGATCTGACTCATTGATCAGAGAACTTCCTAGATGTCTAGAATTCATCCTTGGCCCCAAGATCTACCCCTAGAAGAGATGGTAATCGAGAATCGGATACCCGATGCAGGAGCATGATATTCCGATTTCTCCATAGAAAAAAGTCTAATGGCGTCAAATCAGGAGATCTAGCGAGCCATTCTATAGGCCCTCTTCGCCCTATCCATTTATCTGGAAACTCGTCGGCTAGCCATTGCCGAGCCGGAAGAACATAGTATAGGGTTTCTCTATCCTCTTCGATTTGGTTTTCAATGGTTTCGGTGATAAGCGGATTGATGATATTTTCCAACATATCCATAAAATGTCTCCATTCAAATTTCCATTAATAAACAATGGCCTAATCACTTTGTTTCCTTAAATGCCAAGTATTTTTTGACGCCAAATCTGAATTCATGGTCGAAAAGTTCCCTACACCCCTATATTTCACCCCCGTGCCTAAAAACTACTCTTGGAAGGGGTTAAATTGAATTTCGGAAGCCAGATGCGGGAGCATGGTATGCCCATGTATTTTTCGACATTGAACCCGAATTTGGGGTCAACGAAATTTTTTCACCCTTGAAGCAGCCGCATAAGCGGCAGTGCCTAAATGCCAGGGCACCGCTGCTGCTATGAGGATCTCAAAGAAACTTTGTTTATCCGATTTTTGAACTGCCTAAGGTTAGTAGGACTGGGAAAAAGCCTCCTCTTGTAGATTGTTTCACAATATTGATGCCCCTAAGGACAAAGGACCGGTCGTACTGGACAGCTCTGGCTTCACGAAGCTCGACACGGTTAGGATGGAAGGATGAAGTAAGGCATCTGGCAGGCCTGGAATTCACCCCTGGAACTACCCCTAAGAAGTGGTGGAAAGTTGATTTCTGGATGCCAAATACTGAACCACGCTATTTCTAAATATTATTCAACGCTGAAACCAAATTTCGGCCGCGATACCAAAAACTACCTCTAAAAAGGGCTGGAAAATTGATTTTCGAATCAACCACTGTATTTCTATTAATTCTTCAATGCTGAATCAAAGTTTGAGGTCAAAAAACACCTCCCTTGAATTCACCACTGACGTCAAGCTATCCGTAATGACGGGTGGAAATGGTTGTATTGTTGGACCCGTATTTTTGCAGCCTGATGCATTTTTCCTGCTGAACCCGAGAGCCTGATGGTTATGACGAGACTAGGATTGGGCTTTACATAAGTGAAATACCCTATGGTATGTCTCGATATCGGAAATTTCTAAAACTTATGAGCTCATTCCAGTAGGTGTGCTAGCGTATGTCTGTATGGACAGAGAAGGACAGGGATATATTGAAACAAATGGAAGTACAAGTATAAAGATTTTGTTGACCTCAAGTGTAGTTTTCAGTCCCAGGAGTGCATTCCAGAGGAGTAAGAACTTAGTTAGCCTAAAATTTGAATTCAGTGTCGAAAAATACATATGAATACCATGCTCCAGCATCTGGCATCCGAAACTCAATTTTCACCTCTTTTAAAGGGTAGCTTTTGAGCCTAGGGGTGAAGTTTAAGGGTGTAAGGATTTTTTTTACCACAAATACTGATTAAGCTTCAAAAAATTCATGGGAATATCACGCTCCAGCATCTGCCACCAGAAACTCAATTTTCGCTCCTTTTAGGAGCAGTTTTTTCACCCGGAGGCCAGTTCTAGACGTCTAAGAGCTTTTCTATCCCAGATTCGGGTTCAGTGTTGAAAAATACATAATGATATCATGGTGTGTCATGTATGTCCACCTTTTAGTGGTGTATGTAATGCCTCCTTACCACAAAAGACGCTAACCCTAAATGGCTTCCGCATAATTTTATTAAAAATTCGGAATACTCTGGATTTTAACACGTTAAACAAAAGTGTCCATGTGCCTAAAGTTCTTCCATTAGTAATTTCCGAGATACATGGCCTCCAAGTTTGGCTATCCATACTCTATTACACTGCATTGCGAGTACAGCACCCGGTCTGCAATTGCTGTTTGGTATTTATTTACGTTCTTACCCCTAGAGAGTAATTTGCCAACATTTCAGTTTTATCGCACGTTTTTTTCCAAAGCCTATCCAGGATTATCCTGTACCATTCCTACTTCATTCCTGCGGTAATATTTATAGCAGATAGACTTAAATACTTTTGTGTTTTGTTGATTAGCTGTTGAGAGAATTGTATTTTATCTAAATAAACCAGACAGTATCCCAACCCGTATCTCTTAATTAAATATTCCACCATGTATATAATCTAGTTCATTTTCGGAGTGTGTCAAAAGTGCGTTACAGGACAGTCTTAAACAGTATTTGAAAAAGCTTCCGTCAAGGGGTAATGCTGCATCTATGCAAGCTTGGGTCTTACTGTACATATTATAGAATTGTAATATTAGTCAACCTGCCAGTAGGGATGTTGATAAAAACCTAAACACCTAACAGCAGTTACAGATAGTATCCTGTAGCTGTAATACGATGCATCAGGATACGAACAGCCGAACTTGTATCTCAGAAACTACTAGTAAAAAACTTTAAGCTCATGGAGCAGTTGTTACTTGGGTTGGGATGTACATTATACCAAAATTTAAAAAAAGTTACCCGAAGAAAGCCATTTACCATAAAATTTCTACGGGGTCTTTTATTTAAAGCATAGATACGTTCTATCCCCAATAGGTGCATCAGTCAATCAATGTTCGTAGTACCTATTCATGTTATTTTAGTTATACTTTCCACTGTATGGCTTTTATGTTCTACATGTTTTCCAATTAACTGCCACTTGCTACCTACACCACCCAGGTGCCGACTCGTACTTAGCCCTACGTCCCATTTATAGTCCTATACGGTATCCCATCTTATCGGTCACCGTTTAAAACAGTCTAGCCAGATTCATTTTCTACGTTTATAAATTCTCCTTTATTTTATCCTTAGTTTATTTATTGTTTTTTTTTTATTTCGTTTCAGTACCGATAATCCAACACTAGTGCAGGATAGCGATAAGCCAAAAGAAGATTTATAACCTACTTCGTATAAGATATCATAAGGTTAACAGCCTTCTGTAATACTCTGTTTTTACTACATACCTTTTATAAACGTAGCAGATACTTTACTGTTAAGTTTTTATTGTTACCTTACACCTGTTCTAGAAGTTTATTTTTGTTAATAAACATCTCTTAATTTTGTACTATTATTTTTTGGTTAGGAAGCAACACTACTTATATTTTGGGCCGTGCTTAAATGTAAATACTAATTCAATATTTTAACTTAGTATGGATTCACTCACATCCTATTCGATACCTTCATGTTAATTGGAAGATAACTTTCAAAAATCGAATTTTTAAACTTGACTTGACATCGTCTATGGGTCTACCAGATAATCGTAGCCTGGAGGTTAAATACATCAGTTGCCCGTAAATTCGTTCTAGTTTAGGTGCAACATATTCAGTGATGCATGCTGTGTTTGTACCAATCAAGTGGCTTGTATCTCTTTCTTTGATGAACAAGCTCATTGAAAAATGTTGCAGGAGCATGTTAAACTGCGTAAACGCCTTAGAGCAACATCTTCCAGCCACGGAACAAGCGGGGTTAGTCAGCGCGGAAGAGAAGCCTCCACAGCAACCACCACAGGATTCGTGTAAGGCTCTTTTCAAATATAAAGGCATTTGCCCATTGTACCGTATCGTACTAGGATCGTATCCATTCCAACACGAAATTATATTAGATGTAGTTTATCATAAAAAACAACTCGGGAATCGTCTACGGTCCCATAACGTAACTTAGCGTAACTTTTATAGCTATTACACCCTACACATGATGGGGAAGTCAGAACTCCGCGATTAGACTATCAAAAAGATACGTTAATACGTAGGGTATTGAGTTTTATAAACAAAGAAATTACGATAAGAAAAATACAATACCAGTGGCGAAGTTCAGCTAAATAGCTACTCTACTTAACTCTGGATGACAGGTCCAAAATAAGTACATAATTAAACTAGAGCTAAAGAATCGATGAAGTAGACACTAATATAGATTGCGGTCGCTACGTGTTTGTATGATACGATATAGTGGGCAAAGACCTTTATACGTTTTCTTCTGGGTTAGAGTGCATGGTACGTTGTGGCCGTGAATTAAATAATGCATTTTTGATGTTTGCGTAAAGAGAGTTCATGAGGGTGGTTTGCTTTTTGTCCTATAGGTTTTGCAAAGGCTATCAACATGCAGGATAGGTGGTTGTTGGGTATTACAGTGGGTTGCCAAATTATTAGGTACAGTAAAATTTTCTATCGTATCGTAACTTAAGCCGAACTTAGCTGCAATTTTTAAGTGGTAGAAGTATGACGGGAGTTTAGATATTGAGAGTTAAAGGTCAGGAACATTTGGTTTTACTAACTGTTAAATGGGCGAGGGTCATATAAGCCCTGTTGTTGTTGAATATTTTAAACAAAGTGATTTAGACAGTTTTGCTGTTATATGCAGTTAACATCTAAGTTTTAATATTAATTATTTCAATGATAATAGTTTGATTTTCTTAGATCACATCATTAACTCATCTTTAGAAAAAATGATTTTTTCCAGTACAAGTCATTCACAAATCCGAGTAGCCTATATAACAGGCATTTCTAAATCAGCCATTAACGGAATAAAAATAAATTTGGACCATAACCAGTCCATTTCACCTAAAAGAAAAGACGAAAGCACGAAAACGCATAGAATCACCTTCCAGCAAGACGATTCGGGATATTTGCTTGCAAAACCGTAAAAACACACTGGGAAGTTAATTCAATTGATTCAAAAGTCTGGTATGGCAGTTTCTAAGAGAACACTGCAGCGGAGGTTGGCCGAGAAAGGCTGACAGGTCATGATGCGATGGAAAAAATGACGGTAAGTAGGTTGTTCCCAAACTTCCCTCGAAACATCAGTTAGTCCCAACGAGATTATGTACAGCACAAGTTAGCCCCTCTAATGAAAAAGTTAGCTACGGACACACAGTTAGTCCATAATCTCCACTCATTTGATAATACTAGAATTGTGCAGCTTTGTCGGATCAGAAAGAATCACTGCAACTGGAAGGTAACGCGAGAGGTGGTTGAATGCGCAAAATGAAATGTAAAATGTCACGTAGGAAGTCACAAAACTAAAAGTTTCTTCCCTGCCCTATCGAAAGTATCAACCATGTGATGTGACAACGATGCTGAACCACACCACTCAACCATACCATAAACACCAGTCATTATACAACTACAAAGCGTAGGGAAGATATGTTTAATAAAGTTTTTTTTAAATAACATCATTGAGATGTGAGCCATCGAAACGTACGCACTCGAACGTTCGTTCGTGGGATAGCGGACACCTCCTTGGAAATGTTGTGCTTGAGCTGGATAAGCATAGTCGGTTTATTGGAGTGAACGCGAGTCTTGAGGTATCCCCAGAAAAAATCCAGTGGGGTGAGATCTGGACTCCGGGGAGGCCACGGAATGTCCCCTCGTCGCGATATCAGTTTTCCACTAAATATTTCGTTTGCAACTGCCAAAGACTCGTTGGCGGTATGGGATGTTGCGCCATCATGATGAAATCAGATCCATCGTAGGCTTCAAAATTATGAGTTTTGGAAAGAAAAGGTTACGTAGCTGCTGTGTAGAGATTAGAATTTACTGTTACAGTCTGTTCTTGCTCGTTTTCGAAGAAACAGGGTTCATCCATGGACCACCGAAACTGTAACATAACGCGAATGCAAAGTTCGTTGATGTTTTATTTTGGGATTTTCTAAGGCCTAATACCTGTCCATTGGCTTGATGACAAATCCACTCAAATGAAAATGAGCTTAATCAGAAAAGAGAATATTGTTCAAACTTGGAAAGCGCTCTACCGTTGATTCGGCAAACGCACGGCGAGATGTTGGCCTGCGGTTTCAATTCCTGAACTAGTTGAAGCTTATATGGGTACAATTTAAGGTCTTTTACCAAATTACGCCTTATAGATGTTCTTGTTATGGTGAGCTCAGCTGGTCTTCTTCGGGATGATAACTGCGGATCGGGCCCTACGAACGTCGCACCTTCGCTTACAGTTTCCTCTGTTTGAATTGACCCCGCAGGTTTCTGATTCAGTGTCGAACCGGTAGACTTTAACTTTCTGGTCCACGACCTGATCATACTTTTACTAGGATATTGATTTAGATTATGTAAACTAAACTCAGAGCGAAACGATGCTGCGCAATAATGCACGAATCTTCACTTTTGTAATAAGCCTTAACACGCTGCTCACTGGTAAAACGCTCCATTGCGACTAAATTTCCGAGCACCAAGCTGCTTATCCCCACTACCCGTGTCCAGGTTCAGCGTGCATGTCACGAGCAATGCGGTTCTAAAATTCGTACGTCTTATGCCCGCTACATACGTAACGATATATCGTAGCGATTCATCTGTGCAAACCGATTTGCGCAGATTTATCGATCGTGTGTATGAAAAATCGTTGCAGATTTATCGTTCATGGCGGCAGTTACAATTTCTATAAGATAAATCGTTGTCGATCGCGTTTGCACAGTTTTATCGTCGCGTGTGGATGACGGCCGTTCAGTTCGTCACAAGCTACAGACGCGAAACTTGCCTTTGGCAGACAAAATCTAAGGAGTAGGTACCATGATCGCAACAAAAAAAATGCCGCCTACCACAGACTGGTCGAAAAATACAAAAACATTGATCCAAATGCCAACAGGGACATAGTGGTTAAGAAGATTAATAATCTTAGAACTGCATATAAAAAAGAGCTTAATAAAATAAAAAAATCGCATAAATCCGGAGCAGGAACTGACGAGATTTATACTCCTCACTTATGGTACTTCGAGTTGCTAAGTTCTTTATACGATCAAGAAGTACCGAGACCATCGATATCGAACATGGATGAGGACGAAAATGGGGTAGGCTTTATTTCTCAGAAATTATTTATTGTTTATTGTTACATATTCCAATAGGTATTGTGTGATTATTACATGCTAAATACATTTATGCATTTTTGATATTAAGGTACGTTTTCCATAGCAAGTCTATTTATCCGAATACGCAATCAAGAAATAATCAAAGCTTAGTCTTTGCACCACACACTCCGCGACTTTTTTTTCTTTAAAAACATAACCAGGCCCAATAACGCAAGTGCGTCATCATCTTCCATCATGGATGACATGTTTCTTGCGCGAGCTTCTGCGGAGAACTGAAGATCGACGCAGATATCGGTGGCGTGTGGAGACGCTAGGGTATTTCGATTTAACTGCACAGTCTGAAATCGCTACGATATATCGTTACGTATGTAGCGGGCATTACTGGTCCACCTTGTACCATAATTCAACGCTACGAGACGTGATATAATTATCGTTTTTATATGGTAATTTTAAATACAGTGCGATGTATAATACTAATGTGAACAGATAAATGTACGATAATTTTCTGAATGAGCTTTTTTGACTCTCAGATGTTGACATGTGTTTGATGAATCCCATCTCCCATATGAATCAGATCGATAGTTTCGTTAACATATATTTGAATATATATCTACCCCCTACCCCACTCCCCATCCCCCTTCAATTGACTATTCTCTATTCTTCAAATATTATTACGTCTAACCTCTCCTCGCCTCCACTTTTTAATTGTAGCCAACATGCTTCTTGGGCAAGCGAGCGCAACCCCCCCCCCCTCACTCCTTCTTCTGACATGTACATCTTTCTAAACTGGAATCCTGGGACCACCACCGGCCCCTTCTACACGGTAGATCCATGCTAAGTCACCGTGTACGATATTTTATGATAATTCCCGCTGGTAGGTACAATTATTTCATGCGTCGACTGTTGCAACCCTGCTAAGACTCGAGATCGGGAGCCCCAGCGATGCAGTTATACACAGGCAGAACTTGCTGCACGAAGGAAGGAGACCCACGACAGACACACGATAAGTGTCTGCAAAAATTTAGTTTTAAGTACAAATGATATGTGAAATATGTACTAATAGGTGCGTGAAAATACCGGACTTGGGAGCGTATAAATATACTATCATCAATGTTGAGGTATACCAACCCCCACCCTTGAAACCCGAAATCCCCAATTTTTTATCCTTACAAAATGTTTTATGAAAATGATCAAGAGCATCTAATATTTTTACTTATTAACCCGCAATTTATCGTATCAGTCAACCAAAACTGTCACGGGACGACGACCTGTCAATCTCAGCTGAACGGTTTTCTCAAAAACTGGCATACCAGACTCTTGAATGATTGGAGTTAGCAGTCCAGGACTTTTTTTGATTTAGTAGTCACATATCCCGAATATTCCTGTAGGCGATATAGACTGGTTATGGGTCAAATCTGTTTTCATTCAACGGCTGATTTGAGAACGTCTGTTCTATCTGCTGTTTGCCTTTGTGAATGACGCGTATATAACTTATAAATAATATAATAGTTTCTGTACCATTTTTTAGTCTCTTCGTGTTTTGGGAATTATAGATATAAAATATTTTTTCATATCATAGCTGTTTTTTTTAAAGCAGTATATTTTTGCTTATAAGGACAAAAGCAAACCATATCTATTTTCTCGTATATTTGTTTACATGTTATTCTCATTGTAACACTGTTATTTGTTAGTTCCAAATCCCTTTGAGAGACGGTTGTACAAAACGACATATAATCCTAGAAGACATTCTGCATACGCCACAGTTCCAGGTATACCGACAATTAATATCAGTTCAAAATCCACCAATATTACACCAATAGTCAGGAAGATAGCGACATTTGCATTACCCAAATATTTTCTATGCGATCACATTACATCCCTGTAAATATTTTTTTCATACACCATGTGAATATTTTTGTGATTAATTTCGTACATTGGCTTAAAAAAGCGTAAACTGCAGTGGACATGGAATTAACTGAGGGCTTAAATTTTGAAGACATGATTTTCAGAACATGAATGTTGTGGTGATGGCTGAGGCTAAACCTAGAGCAGTTGCGGAAAAGCTTGACAAAGAGGCCGCCTTTGGCTCGTTTGCCGACCCAGAGTGTACCAACACTCTAGGCTACATGCTTATCCACTAATATGTCGAGCCTTCCTGATCTCTTGATAAAAATCAGGATATGCGACCACGCTGCTGTGTACCTATGCAACTTCACTATAAAACTTTCGTCCACTTATGCTGCCAACTACAGGGCAAATGCCTAGAAGTGAGACGCTGTCTCGTCCTTCTCCCAGCACATGGGGCAGATAATCTTTTATCATCCTTAGAAGGGACTAATGACTATTCAGTCTACAGTGGCCGGTGAGCGATTCTCTATCTCCGTCCAGTAGCCAACACATCCGATGTCTCACGGGGCCCGCTACGAGCCTCTTGACCTGCCTGCCATCATCCCTCCCTCGCCACACTTTTCGTAGCTTCCTATACACTTATTCATCCTGGGCGGGGGCCTGATTGAGCCCAACCTAAGCTCACGACTGAGGCAGTTGCCGCTGTAGTGTCATACTTATGAAATCCAAGATGTATGTTTTCCAATTTTTTCAGCATTAAAAGCTGATAATGTCAAGCAATCACAAAAACAACATCTAACTCCTACCGAGTTGACGCAAAAGACATGTCGCTATCCCCTCTGGCTATAAATACCAGCTGCACCAAATTTACCGCTAGTCACTTGTTTCACTACACTATTAACAAAAGCAATGTATTATACACTGAGTAGATTCTACTGGATAAAAGCGTCATCTTTCTTGGTCCGCTTATCCTTACAAACAGCTTAATTTAGAAACAGCGGCTGTATTACAAAATATTTTGACTTAAGCCTGATTCTAACTGAATTATGACACCTGACATTAATTTTGATGTCACTTTGTGCAATACAAATGATCAGCTATGATAGTTACGATACTCCATGATAATTTCGATATACCATACGAATCGTTTACGATTGAGGTCGGCCGGGTTCCAATGTGTACGAGAGAGAAGCGTGCAACTCGTATGTTAGAAAGAGTTGCAAAGAGGGTACCCAAAAGTGAAATCGCCACGTTGCCTGTCAACGACAGCAAGGAAGGTGACAGAGCGCTCTTTCTAACATACGTGTTGCACGCTTCTCTCTCGTACACATTGAAAGTCGACCAGTCTCAACCGTAAATGGTTCGCACGATAGAACAGTTGGAATCAGATATCAAAATCATCATTGATGATCCTATGTAGAATCAGGCCCTATCCATCGACTGATGGGTGACAGAAACACACGATACGTGAATAAGGACGAACTTTTTAAAATACTACAGGTACTCCGGGCAGATAGCGAGGTAACAAAGTTGCATCAGGCGACAAATCATCACCGAATGTCAAAAATATTAAAAATACAATGCAACGTATCGACGAATTTTTTATACACCTGACCATGTTGTGACCGAAAACTGTTTGATTAGCATGTGATTGATTTCATTATAATGATAATGATAATTTTGATCTTAGTTATATTTGAAGTATGTGAATCAATATGGTTCTTTGTGAATTCAATGCTTTTTCTAGTTAGTTCTGTATCAGCTATGTAAGACTTGGTAGGCAATTTTATTTTCAGTTTCAGTTTTTTAGGCTCATGCCATCAGTCAATAACTTACATTAAGATATGAGTCACCTTATATAGAAGCAATTGCATCGCAATCAATGTTCAGAAGTTTTCTATTAGTATGACGATTTACTAGAGTGAGTAGCTGCAGTAGATGTATGCATGACCTACGACGTACTCATTCGATACATCCTTTCTGTCTCCTATCAAATTCGGACCTGTTACAAAATTGCAAAAGATACCATCAAACTTATTATTAAAACGAGTAGCGACTCAGAGCATCCAAAAGCTGCTATAATCTGGTACAAAATTACCAACGCCCGAATTCATATAAAGGGTGGGCCATCAGTTGGTTTTTTAGGTTAGTGTTATTTTGATAGTTGGTAACACTTCCATGCTCAACATATTGACAGTTATATTGTGTCAAACTTCCACTGTGAGCAATGGATCGTCTTGGTCTTGAACAAAGGTGGGAAATATTGATAAACTATTCTCAAAGTGAGTGCTGTGTTGCAGAAACTTTGCGAAAATTGAGAAGACTATTTGGGCGGAAGGTGGCTCCGTCTGCAACTGGTATACGAAAATTCGTGAAACTGGCCTGCTTGTGGATAACAGAAGGTATGAGCGTGTTCGGCTCGTACGTACAGCCGAAAACATTGCTGCTGTTGCCCAGAGTGTGCGTGAAAACGCAAGAATGTAAACTCGTCACAGAGCACAACAAGTGGGCATCAGTCGGACTTATGTGCGCAGAATATTGCATAACGACTTGGGATTATTTCCTTGGCTCTAAATCAATTGGAAACGGACGTCAATTTTGGTCGCCAAATCATCTTATCGGACGACGCCCATTTCCATCTGGTAGGTTACTTTAACAAGCAGAAATGTAGGATTTGTGGTTCTGAAAATTCACATGTCCTCATAGAAAAAGCAATGCATCCAAAAAGAGTAACTATTTGGTGTGGCTTTTGGAGCGGTAGAGTTATTGGTCCCTACCTTTTTCAAGATGAAGATGGTAACAGCGTGACGCTAAACGGGGAACGCTATAGACACATGTTGAGAAGTTTTTTGTGGCCACTATTAGACGACATGCACTTGAACAATCTCTGGTTCCAACAGGATGCCGAAACATGCCACACCAGTCGTTCTCTTACACACTAAGTTCGGTCAGCCCCTAGATGTTATTTGACGCCCATGGATTACTTCCCATGCGGTACTGTTAAGGACCGCTGTTAGACTAACGATCCTCAAACAATTGATGTTCTTAAGGAAAATATCCGTTGACTCATTGATGAAATAGACCCACAAACTATCAAAATGTGCTTCAAAATTGGGTTAAGAGGATGTACTACTGCCAGGGCAGCCGCGGCAACCATTTAACTGAAATTGTTTTTCATAAATAATCGGAAGGTGTATTCTTTTGAATAAAGTATCGAGTGTTACATATTATTGAAGAGTGTAGTTTTAGTACCAATTTAAAAAAGAAATCAACGGATGGCCCACCCTTTACAAGGGTGTTCTAAATGTTAGAACTTATTTCCCTTATACGATGTATAGTCGTCTTCTGACATAAGCAAATCTTAGTAACACATTCATGAAAGTCCGGTGTAAGCAAATATACTAACTTCTAAAGAAACTGCAATCTAAGATTCGGCCTCGACTCCAGCAAGTAATAAGATCAAAAGGTCCGACGTGCATCAGTATCCAAATCATGGGCCGTAGGTATATAATTCTGATTGGAGGGAATCGAAAATGGCTTATTGTCATAGCAGAAACAAACTTGTAGATTTGATGTTGATTAACGGTGATCTTTAAGATATTGCTGATGCTTCTCAAGTCCATTCGGAACATTTTTCTGTACGTTTCCGTACCGCGCTGCATAGATTTGTTTATGTGTTACAAACGCCATTTCTGGAAACATCGAAATGCGTATGGAGATCTAGACATCCCCAAAAGTTGCAAATTGACAGCAAATGTGTGTTTTTGAATTCAATGGTAACAGCTTCGATCAGTATTTAAGCACAATACTTGCAGTTTCTTATCGAATGAACGGTGAGTATTTCACTGCTGTCATCCCGCACATCAGCTTTCTTATTTGCAACATAGCCTGAAAACATTCGGTACACCCTGTATATCATTCCGTAGTGCGACTTCAAAATTAAATACATTTGTTACATCCTTAAATAGCTATGACCTTCCTTCCCTGTTAACAGCTGGTTCGGAGCGGTCTTCCAGAGCCGGCGATACAGGTGGTCGCCCACCGCCGCCACTACCCCCGCCCAGGTTTCCGAACAGCGCCGTTTGACAACAGTGGGAAACTCTCAACCTGACCGCCACCTTAAGTCTGCTGCCACTCCCAATCACGCCTTTGCTAGTCCTGGAAGACCATCTGGTGGAGATGATCGCACAGCGCGGCAAGGCCTGCGCAACCTACATTCGCCGAAGCTTCAAAAGACCTCGCCCTCCCGTCAGCTGATCGAAGAAGAGAATCCGCCGCAGGCGCAGGCGTAGGCTACACCCAGCCAATATCTCGTATGTACACAAGGATATTTCGCACAGCTTCGCAGATATTCAGCGCGGATTGATGGATATTCCGCACGGAGTCACGAATATTCCGCACGGGTGGGCGGAAATTCCGGGCACCCAGTCGGTGTGTAACGTATATGAAAATTCCTCCACGAGCGAAGAATGTTTTTACGAATGTCCGGTGGATAGTACGCGGTCGCTATGCGACCTTGATTTTCATGACCATGTGAAATGTCATGATTCAGTAAGCTCGTCACGTGAGGAAGACTTTGTACGATCTTGGGATGCGCCCTTGGAGGGATCACCGACTGGATTATGTGACCGTTCAGTCAGTATGAGCGCAGATGACACAGAATTGTACTTGAATCCATGTATACTGTATAACCAAGACTGCCTACAAGAATTCAGAAGGTAAGTAGCAACTCAAGCTTTCTTTTTGGGAAGTACTTCAGGCGACCAAAAATCTAACTCAGTAATTGTAACTTCTACACAGTTAAAATAGAACCAACATTTGTCACTTGCATAATTTTTGGACCCCGCATCCTATATTGCGTAAAAAATTGCAATCTGACAGTTGTGGTGGCAAAATGCACACTAAGTATGCTACGCTATTCTGAGCTGGTGAACTTCTTAGGAATGGCCATTTTGCTGATTTTGTCTAAGCTGTGCCAATTTGTATTTGATTAGTGTGGTTTGTGGGTTGCAGTCTCATAGTACGTATACAAAAAGTTAGTCGAGGCAACATCAGATATATGCCTTACGCGAACCACATATGGTCACAAAAGCGGCTACTACCGCTGAAGCAGTGACACAACCTCAAAGTAAGAAAGACGCACATCCACTGGTGGCTAGTATGCAGTGTGAACTTTGCAAACACCAAATCTGACATAAAATAGTGCAAATTGGTTTATATATAATATATAATATATCAATATTTCAGGAATGCACCAGCCACACCTGCATATCCCTGGAATATGAACAACGAAGACAGGACACCCTGTGCGCAAAGACGACCTTTATTTGACCTTCGGACTCTGCACGGTCTATCTGACCCTCCGTATGTGCTAACGGGAGACCTGCGCCACTTCGCATGCATGTACGAGCCGTGCTGCCATGAAGCGACACGGCATCGCAACATTTGCACGGGCCACGTTGATAAATCGTCCCGTTTTGGCTCGGATCTGCTACGACTATTACACTGCCCGCCTGATGAACTGCATAGTCATGGCACGAGTGATTTTGACTCTCAGTGCGTTACCGATAAACATAATCTTCCAATGATACAAAATTGGCCTTAATATGCTCAGTTTATATGGATTAAAAAGTTAGAAGTGAGGTGGTACCCCTTGACAGTGCCGTCGTTTATGTGCGAACTTGTTTCACAGAAACGGATCGAAGGTGGCACGAAGTGTTTCGCCTAAATTTTTTTACATGCAATATATTGTTAGAATTTGTAGTTAGCTAAACTGACATGTCTATAGAAAAGGTTGTGCCAAGTGATGTCACATAACCTGCGGTAAATGTTTTGTTCGATTGGTTTAAACATAAGTTGTATAAGTAAATGCATCCGCTATCAGGAAAGCCAAATGCATAGTACCTAAAATACTGAGTTATTCATAATGTTCAAGTCGTGATTATTGTATAAATGTTTATATAAATCTGCTACTGATTTTACGCGATTAATTAGGTTTTTTCAACTTTGTAGGTCGACAAAACTAAGCTTCAGGTTATGTAGCAGCACTTGATAGTAACTCGTACCATGATTGAAGCACGTCATGTAAAGGTGATGTTAGTATTCATCTTCTGAGACATTTTTTTAATCAATTTGTTACATTCGATTATAAATACTGAGGCTACCTTTCACGAAACGCTTCAATGGAATATTTCTTCCGATACATTAGTTGAGTCGACGGATAACTGATTATATAAAATTTATCTGACAGAACTCAAATTCTAAATATAATAGTCCATTTATAAATGTCCAATAGTTATGTGATGGTTCTTCCAGAAAATTCAGTGTTCTATTGATACAGACCGGACGAAAGTATTTCTCTTTGGCGAATACAGATTGAACTAGTGCTTTAAGAATGAAGTAACTATCTTTATTAAGTTTACAAAGCTTATTCAAAAGTGAAGAAGGAAATCTTGTTTGTTTTTATTATAAGGCAGCAAAAAGCAAAAGTGGAACATCTAGCCTAGACTAAACTACATTAGGCAATAGGCTTTCAAATACAAAACTGCTATAAAAAGTATTATTGAAAAAGGAGTGCTTGTTCTACAGAAATCTCTGATGGCACGATATCCAAATCGAATTTCCCATATATCTTTATCGAAATATGCTTTTTCCAGCTGGAGACAAACTGGTGATCCATGATACACAAACTTAGGAAGCATCTACCAGCTCTGAGAATGTCGAGCAATGTCAAAAATTGGAGTGCTCAAGCTTTCTCACAAAAAAGAATGTGATGCTTTATGAACAGGTCATGTTCCCATTTTTGTTGATCCGCGAAAATAAAAGTGTGACTCACTAAAGATCATATGGGAACTACAATTCACTAGTAGTAATTGGAGATTTGTATGGGTTCAACATTCAAACCCTTCGTTTTCTCAAAAGAGCTTGATCGAAAAATCTTTCTTCTAGCTTGTACGAAATCGCAAGCTCTATAACAAGGTTCACTGAATAATTTTCTACTAAGAGGTTACACCTCTGCTTTGAGCTGCCCTGTCAAAAAAATCACCCTTCTATAAGCGATATTACACTCGCATCATCTAAACGATACATAATAAAAAAATATTTTCAGGTTTGAACAGGAGAAGAACTACTGTAAATCAGCTGTAAAGATAATCTGTAACTTTGAACTAGCATCTACTTTCAATTTTGTCCATTCACGCTCGCAAAATACATTCAATCACTGTTTTATATAGACACAATTAATTTGTAGACAATACAAACACAACTTTCATACATCACATCATCAAAGGCTGTGTTTGGACATAGCAGTTTCCAATAGTATGTTTTTTATCTCTCGGCAAACAGAACTGTGGCTACAGTATACTCGGAGACGGCAGGAGATACCGTGAACATGAACATCCACAGCCGCTCAAAAGTTACCGAACACATGACAGTCGATAACTAGAAATAAAAAAAGAGATAGATGCTGGATTGTAAAGCGAAAAATAAATTATCACTATCATTATTTTTTACTCCTTAATATGATATATACCTCAAATAATAACAATAAGGCATATTTGTGCATCTCTTTGGTAAAAAATCCTCTTTCCAGATTCAATACCTGTTCGACACTTAGTGAGATTCTGGTGACGTGCTTTTCAAGAATAGACGTGTAAAGCTACTGCCCCGTCTTTTTTACCTTGTTTTATAGCAATTTCTTCTCAATTTCATACTATTCATATGAGTATTTCTAGCTCTTGTCTTGATTGCGAAACGAATCCTGGACAGATAAGTCACCCCGCAGAAACGGTGGTGGTGATGTCCTGCTGCATAATCCTAACGGTGAAGAAGAAAAACGGTTTCATAATCACTTTCATTCAATACTGTCTCTCCATTGCGTAAGATTGACAGAATTCCTAATGGAAAAGAATATTACAAGATTTTTGTTCAGCAACAGATTCTCGCGGGAAGAAAACCTACAAGAATAAGATTTGTTATACGATCAAGAAACGACAGACGCACCTCATTTAAGTTGTGAAAAAATATTTTGTTCAAAAAGCAACAAAACCATCGGGTTTCCAGTCCAGTTCTCCGACCTCCATCTGACCAAATATCTTGGGGGACTTGATCGAATAGTGTCAGAGAACAGGGTTCATCTAATAACGTATTATTTATCACGAAAAAAACTTAAAGAAAACATAAAAGTAGCTTAAAGCATCTGTTCCCGAAGAATTCGTCACGAGAACGCTAAGAACAAACTATCGTAAGTGCATTTTCACTAAAAGTGTGTACAAATACAGGTTTTGCTGTCATTATTTGAGATACATGTCAAAAACATCGTATTAGATAAAAATATTATTCTTCTGTACGACTCTCCTTCCATCTATTTTAGTTAAGTAACTATCGTCAAGTGTTCGGAAAATTTTGAACGGTAGTGCACGCCTGCATCTTGCCAGCAATAATATCTAAGCCTGGTAATCGGAGGATGAGAGGGCATGCCAACACCTTCTGCTGAGGGACCCCACAGCATAGCCTTCGTCAACTCAGCAAGGGTTTCTGTCTCTCTTTCTCTCTCTCTCTCTCTGCATCGAAAAACATACTGTAGAATCTTGAGAGAGGCACCGGCATGCCGCAGCACCAATCGCCATATTGGGAGATTTCCTGGGCGCCAATTTGTATGGCATAGAATGGCGACACGTTATGTGACATCGCACAGGATTTTTCTCAACAGTCTGCAATGTCATCGGAGTCTCTTTAATGCTGTTTCCTGCCGAATTCCCGTGCACGCTAGCTGCGAAAGGCTAATTTTTTGGTACTAATCATTTTCAAGCTATCGCCTTTTATTTTAGCCTCGTCGGTATATTATACTCGGCAGCAAAATGTCGACGTATGTAAGTTGCGTTTAACAAAACCTCATATTTGTCCATATTGCGAGGTTTATATTCTAAAAAATACACTGCCAACCCGATATCCATATATGGACAAACATGACGCTATAGTGGAAAATAAGTAACTCTATATTGATAGGTATTTAAAATATACGTCATCCACTTACAATCGAATCTTTAGTTTACTCTGGTATAATATACGATGTTAATAGTGAGGGGATGACGAGTACCTTCTTTATTGTTTAGATATTTTTGTGACTGGTGAAAACAGGTGCTCAATTTTTAAATAGTGCGGCCACCCATTTTGTTTTGTATGTTATATCACCTAGAGCAAATATATCATACGGTAAGCAAGTACACCTTGAATTCTAATTTCAAAAGCATTATGGCTAAGACACCGATAAACTTTACGATTAACTAATCAAAAGACAATTTTATATTTATTCGTTATATATCCCGGCCAAGAAAGACCACAAACCCATAATTTCATATCACACTTAATCACCGGATCAAATAAACTTAGACCCAGTAGAATCCTCTCCACCACAATAAACCTGTGGTTCAGATGCAGTTTATCAGATAATAGTGAAAGACGCACTGGTATATTCTTATGATACAATTACTCGAGTTGTAGTATCATGGATATTTCCTATCAACGACCTTCCTCGAAGACATTTAATTCTGGAGTAGGGATTTTCGCATAATTGGAAAGACGTATTTGTGATAATATGACTAACTTAGAGCCAGCAGCAGTACATAATACTATTTCAAACTTTATTAATTTATTGACTAACGCAATCCCGCATACTAACGCAAAGCTGTTTGTTGTGGAAATTGTCACTGGTAGGTTCATCGTTTCTGACATATACAGGGTGACTTTGAAGTTGAGTCATTAATTTTCAGATAATGATTGTAGAAGGAAGATAAACCAAAATATGTGTGTAAAAATTAAAAAAAAAATAAAAAAAAAATCTTACCTTGTTTAATAAAGTATCCTCTCGACAAGTATTTCAGTGCGGACCTGTATTTGATCGTGCGGTCTTGGAGCAGCATGCCCTCACCTGTGAGGTCTTAAGTCACCTGATTCACGAGCCCTTTGTACTACATTAACGAAGGCACGAGGGGTTGGTTGCACTCGATTGGGAAACCGATTCGCATAAATCCGTGATGCATCCGGGAGCATTTTGTAAAGACTGCCCCCCCGTAAATAAGAATCATGTCCACAAGTTCAGCATTTTCGTAAACATGTGCCATTTTTGATTTCGTTTGAGCCACGCAACACACTACTATTCACTAACGCGTTATCGACTGACGAAAAACATCGTGATAAACGTTTCAAATTCTTTCGCTTTTTTGTTTCCGATGCGATGAACCGGTCAGGCGGATTATATCCGTTGTCGCCAAACACGAGCATATAATAGGCAGGGCGGTACTCAATCTTCCAAAGGGCTATAACTTTGTTACTTTAATTTTACCAGAAAAATGGTAAAGGAAAAAAACATTTCTTTTGATCAGATCTACTCACTGTTAAAATAAATGACTCAACTTCGAAGTCACCCTGTATAGTTGATAACCTTAGAATTGCAAAATATCGCAATTATTAAGTGAAGCTCTATGTCCCATGCAGCAATTACGGTGGTTTCTACCGCTTTGGGTTAAAGGTGAGGGTTACTTAACTTGGAGTTAGCGGTAACCCCAGGTTGAATTCGAGTAGCTTTGCACTGTCAAGGTTTAACTCTGTGTTTATAAACCCCGACTTTTGGTCATGTTGGCAAGCTTGGAATATAGAGATATTTCTCAGAATTAATACATTTATTGGCAATATTGCCAAAAAGGCTAGTTTTGTGCTAAAATTTTGTTGATTCATGCTGGGATTTGAAAGATTGACGTAAATTTTGACATTCTAGTACTTGTGTTTTGTAATCAGCTTCTTTGCTATTTTTTCCATTATCGTTTGTGTTTGATTTGGCTGGATAGTATATATATGTACTTTGTGATTCTGTTTCGAAGAAGGGATTTTGAAAATATTTTTCGTCGCATCATACAGTCGACAGCATTGTCCACAAAGCACCCTGGTAATTATGGACGTAACCATAAATAATGAAGAATTCGACGAGGATGATCTTATTCCTCTGGAATTATTGGAGTTTGGCATACCTAGATGAATTTACGAACGACAAGAATATTTCCGGACGATGGAACGCTCCACGTTCAGAAAACGGTTCAGGTTACCAAAGAATACTGTCCTCACTGTGCTTGAAGAGATTAGAGACAAGTTGGAAGTACCTCTGGATTTGTATGTACACTTTTCACGGTGGGCTGCACTTTTTTAACATAATTGTGGCTATGGCAGTGCTACATAATATAGTTATTGCTGATGGAGATGAGAATAGAGATGAGAATATGCCACCTTTTTCAGATGAGTTGGATCCCCATACATTCAAAAAACTTCTGGAAAGAGATGAAATAACAAACATCAACATAGATGTTTCATCACTTCCAGCATCCACAACGAGAACGTTAATCATCAATGGGTACTTTCAGAATTTGTAATTTTAAGATGATTATTATATGATTTCTAAAAAGAATTGTGTTTTGTTTGAATCCTTGCACATAGAATGTTGCCATATTTTTAAAAGCAAATCAAGTACACTAGGCGATTGGGAGCATTGAATTGGTGGAGTCGCATATCATTGCACATTAACTGAAGAACCTCTTTTTTATTGTCAGTATGCATTGCGATGCGCAGGTATTACTCTACATTTTCATGATGCTATCCGCCTTAACACCTAGTTCAAGTGAGAGGTAAATTTATCCAAGAGTTAGGCCTTAACTCCGAGATAAGAATAACGCTGCAAAGACTAACTCTAACTAAGTTAGCGGCAACCCTCACCTTAACCCGAACCGGTGCAAACCACCGTTAGTGTAACATCCATTTTTTATTTTTACTTAAATCTAAGAGATGCTAATAAAACAAATAATTAACATGTTTACATAAAGTGATCTTTGAAAATGTCACTCCCACCATTTTTTAAACAAGCTGATAAACCGAAATTCGGGATTATGAAGTTTACTTGAACACTATTGAAATAAGGCAGCACAAAGTACCGTCTACTACCAGAATGGTTCATTCTGGTGATTGTAACACCCTGTACAGGTTGGTAGGTCACAGATAGTTGATGCGTTAGTTTTTGGTTCGTATGATGTGTTGTCAGATTTTGTCAGTTAGTCGTCAGTCTTCTGGTTTCCGAAATAGTAGGACTTCATTCAATGAATCCATCCGTAGCTCGAGTATAACCCGAAAACAGCACCGGAGAAAAATGAAAGGAGACGATTTATATATAAAAAAAAATATTTGGGACAGGTTGGCCTAAGATAACCTTAGTTTAGGGTTCTCCTCTATTATTGGACCTTAACATGAACTGCATTTGCACTATTAGCTGATGGGGTTAGATATGTATTGATGAATAGAGCTAAAATTTGAAATTAATTAACATGTGTTTGAAGAATTGTTGAAGATAATTCACCTTGCGCAAATCTTTTTTGGCTTCCTAAGTAAGCTATAAGAATTTTAATATTTAATTTGTTTTTCATGTAAATATAATGTGCTTGTATACCGTATGATTTTCAAACTAGTGTATTGTAGTTTACACACTTTTATAAGCCCAACACTATAGGATATGCCCTGATGTAGGGAAAGACGCATATTTCCTCCCAGAGAGACTTAGTGGGACTCTAAAATAGTGAAAGAGGTGAAATCAAACGGATCTAACTGGGTTTGGTGAGGGTGAATGTAGTTGAACATGTAATTAAATATTTACACGATAGGTCGAACTTGGAGTTTTTCAATCAAGAAAATATATATTCTAAAATATCGGAGAAAGCTTGATCAGTTATTCGTGGTTGTATTATGCCATCAGAACGGTTTAAAAACTCATGACGCAGAAAAGATTAGCAAAAAGCGTTAAAAAGTTCCCTTCTAAAGATTATGAAACTAAATCTTTAAATCCAGAAAAATACAGCGCAAAATCTATACTTAAGATATTAATATGCGGCACATTTACTCGCTTATTTCGTTAAAAGGCACATATTTCCTAATGTTTTGAAAAATATCTAAAACTGAAGGCTCCGAGTTCGAGCTATCTGGATTTCGCATTAGGAATTTCAAAACGAGATGGAGAAAGTTTTGCAAAGTTATAAAAGAATCTGTACACGGTTTTGTGTTATTTGGGGTGCTACTGTTTCTTGTTTCATAGTTTATTGTTGTTCTCCTATACAAAGACCATTCTGGTAACATCTCTAACGTAAAGTACGACGTAACACTAAATTTTGAAATATGGATATAAACAGTAAGTCTTGATTTTATTATAACCTTATAATATTTTCTATACAGGTATAACATCTTAAAAAAAATTAATTGGAGCAGAAGCAAAGAGCTGGAAATATAAACATTTTATTTGAATTTTTGTCACATCTTTAAATGAATGAACAAAAATATGAATTGATTTTCTTAAGAAAAAATTAAAGGTACAGAGTAATACTTTTGCTTCCAACACATTTTAAATTGATGATATTTAAGGTGGGAGAGGCAAATAAAGTTTAAAGTGAGAATGAATCGCTGAACAAAGGGGCTCACCTAAAAGAGTATCGTTTTCATCCGTAACTTGCAACTTTTTGAACACGAATCTCCACTACCACGTTCAACTTTAAAATTCATTTGTCTCCCCTGGTTCATTTATTAACAATTTCATAGCAGCAATTCTGTCAAAGGATACTTTACGAGCTATAAATAGCATATCTTTGAAGCGGCTTCCCCTATACCAAGTTTTTTCGACACGTGTGTTAATAGCTAACGATATAGTTGCGCATCCTTTTTAGCTAATGAGGCTACTAGGCAATTTCTAGTTCAATTAAATCTGACAATGTACATACTAACTAATTTAGATAAACATTATATCAAATCATACATATTCGGTATAAGGACTAGTGCACACCATCGGGCGGCAGAAAAGACCAACATAGTGGGTTTCAAAAGGGTTTCCCTCCCGGCAATGTACACTGATGAGAACAATCACCCGCGATATCGCGGGCATCCTCAGCTGTCACAAGACATCCTCTGCCAAAGGATGCCGCGGTATACCAACGTCTCGCGTAATATAATGCCCTTCGATAACCCAGGAAAGATTTTTCTATCGGCATGCGGTGTCTCAGCATGCGTTAACGAAATAAAAATCCCTTTCGCGCCTCTTCTCTACCGTCGTGGTGTGCACTAGCGGTAAAGTTATTCCGATGATAACTTATTTTATCACCAAAAATAGTTCTGAGAAGTAAAAAGGAGAACTAATATAAAGAAAGATGTTCTGATAAGGACATGTCTGTGTCGAAATTAAGGATCTCACTTAAAGGATTTTTAGCCTTATTTTCTATATGATGTGTGATTTGAGTTGAGCGGAGCAATTTGTGAACTGTATATATTTTTAAAATTCACTGCCATTGTCACGCGAAATACGAATCTATTCTGACACTTAAAAATGTACTCGAATATATGTCGCTTACGGTGTGATCATTCTGGCCTGAACTTGAGCTGACCATAGACGCTAAGGTTTTCCGTTGTGTGAACCAACCTCAGGATAACATAGCACATATGGCCGACGTAAGCTCAAGTGAAAATGCCTCTTCCAAGGCGACGATAGCGTGATATAAGATTAGTAATCACAAATCATCATTAATTGTACTGTAAAGATATTACATTATTTGAATAAGTGTTATACACTGCCCCAAATAAAAAATCTATGCTTAAAAGCAGTCTTTTATGAACTGGTATAATGGAGGTTCATAAGTATGCTTTTCTTATCAGGGTTTGCAAAAAATAAGTCGGAGAGTTTTCAAAAAGGGAATGTGCTTTTTAGGCTGACGGACAAGCATTTTTGCCTTGGAGTTTTGTTTACTGTTTTTGCTACAGATGACATATAGTGGAAATTAAACAAATTGTAGAAACAAAATGTACTTGTCCTGTACACAAACTGGCGAAGAAACCCTGTTTTACTATATATATATAGAAGACTTCGTTATCGGTCTTTTCTGTAACGATGGTTTTAATTGTGATATTAGCGTAACTTTGCAAAATCTTTATATCCTCTACTAATTCTAAAATGTATGGGTACAATTGTTTGTTTTTGTATAGTAAAAATTTAAGAACGATAGCTCAAAAGTATTTTGGGTGATGTCTAATTATAGTCTTACGCAAGGCCGGACCTGATTGATTTGGCGAAGAAAACAGAGTTGGATTTGACAATTTGTTCACTGAAACCAACTAATTTTCCTTGTTCCTCATATAGTATTTCAAATTAATGTACTATGATTTTTGATTCATACTACGGTACTACGAAATCTGCTTAGCAAAAGAACATTGATGATTTGATTGTTTTCTATCTTTGATCAATCTTAAAATATTCCTCCAATCTGCAATTCTCTTCGAAATTTCGAAAACAATAAAGATTATATAATTATAAATCGGAAGACTATTATTACTCTTGTCCATATTTTCAGCCACAAAATGTCAATGTCAACCTTGATTTGCCTTGCAAGTTTCAAGCCCGGTATCTGTAACTCCTTTTTGTAATATTGACATGTAAATAACACCGCGTATGTTGCTTGATATTTTAAAGTTAATTTTTAATGAAGATTTACTATACGCAACTTAAGAGCATAATTCAATTTGATACATGCTGTTTTGTCTATGGAAAAGGTGCATCTTATTAACATATAAACATGAAACAGGTGATTTTGTATATTTTGTATCCCTCTATGTTTGCACGAGTTTTTAAATTACAACAAAGCGAAAATTTATTTTCTAATTCTCGTATGTTACGTATTAACAAAAGTCTTAGGAATTGTGGAGAAGAACACCCAGAAGTAAATGACTATTGTTGATGATAGTATTAGCTTTAATCAGGTATCCTCACATATTATAATATTAATTAAATAACTGTTTATGAGGTTAACAGCACATATATACTAAATTATACTTTGGGTCCAGTCCGAAGACATCACTTTGTTTATTCACTATGTAGTCCGCCCCTGGAGTACGATCCGCGCACCAAGTTGAAAGACGAGAATCCCCACCTCCTCGCCGCGCCCTGGCCACTCGCGTTGAATCATTCGCTTTTTGGTGCGCGATCCGTGCAGTCGCCCGGCCTGCTTCAGTTCAGAAAACGCGTGCGATTTCTCTTTTCGGTACATAGTGCTCAGTGAGTAGGTAGGTAAGTTCACAACAAGGCTATTCTTTTTGATACCACTTAGCAGTCTGTTACATAATTGATTGGCGTATTCAACCAGATTGAATACGTTAACCAATGGTTATACTTGTTTAACAGAAACCATGGAAAAATCAGGAATTTCGGAGGCCAATTCACCCAGCTCCTTGAGAGACATGATTCGGGCCATTTTACAGGAGGAGCTCGAGGCAAGGTCAGGTGGTTATCGTTCTCGCACTAATTCGAGAAGTTTATCCCGAAAGAGTCGACACAGCAGATCCATGTCTCGTACCAATT